ATCGTGCATTCTTTGGGAATTTTTTTCGGGCAAAGTATTCAGCAGAATTCGACGGTTCTTTCTTCTATACATTAACCGACACTTATGATACAGAAAAAAAATTTTGTTGCGATACATAATCACGTATAGTTATATTTAATATGTCGAAAAATTGGATCTTCTTCGATCTTTTTAAAACTTCTTTAAGAATATCCTTCAACAGACTTGAAACTACGTCTCGAAGGGGAAAAACAGTCTCTATTCTATGGGGAGAGAACATCGAATCTTATTGGAATGATTTTTGCCGGTCTATATTTGGCCCCGCCTTAAGAATTACCCGGCTCGTTTACGCGGTCGTTAGAGTGGATTTAACTGGACGAAACGAGGGAGAGTGTGTCAGATATCGTTCGACCGAGTTCTGGTAATCCTCGCGCGGAACCGACGGCAATAAATTTCGTGAGACATCGCTTGCCGCGGAGGGGAAAAGGAGGAGGAGGGCCGGTGTTACGCGCACCGCCTCGGTCCATTTACTCTTCGAAGCGTCACCTAAAATCAGTTAATTATATTCTAGCCTCACGACCACTTGGCCTAGTCCAAAAACAACAAAAAAAATCACAATTGTCTTCGTTGCATCGTTAATCCAATTCTTAACCTAAAAATCGACCATTGCCCTCATTATAACCTAAAAATTGACTCCTTACGAATCTTCAAATAATTCGATTGCAGCCCCAAAAGATTCCTTTTTTACCTGAAAATTGATTTCTTATAAATTTGATAAAAATTCTATACTATCTGTAGAGGGCTGTAATTTGTAATTTATAATATAGTCAGCGTGGTAGAATTTTTTTAAACAAATTCTTTCGGAAATATTTTGAATCGTGAAAGACAGGATGGTCAAAGGGCGAAGATCTGAACGCAAAAATCGCGCGGTATTCCCGCGGCGAGAGAAGGAGCGCGTGGCTGTTACAAAGAGCACAACGATGCGGACAATTTGTAGCAGAGTGTCAACGAAGCCGTTTCTATTTTCGAGACGGATCCACTCGCTCGTCTCTCTCTGTCTCCACCTACTACTCCGTCGTTTTTCAGCCACCGGTGCACCGCGTAAATTTACACGCGATTAATCTGTCCTCGTGGCCGTCTCTTGTTATCCTGACACGCGATTCCTCAATCCCCTCTAACCTATAAAAATAACGAGAATTCGAAAAGTTAAACGAAACATCAATTCCAGTTTATCGTGGCGTCCTCTAGCCTGTAAAAAAGTATGAAAAATGTAAGTTTGAAAAAAGAAAAATCCATTTTATTGGAAAATGGTGTATATCATGGTATTCCATAATCTGTAACTCCTCCAGACAACCTACGAGTTTCGTTTGTTCTCTTCTGAGGATCTGCAAACGAGGCAATTTTTATATTAGAATCAGCAGAGTTCAAGCGCCACATAATTACTACCGGTGTACAGTGAAAATAGAGCTGCTCGAAGCGCACACTTCGCAGGGAGCACGTACCAGTCACGCAAAACGTGTCTCCTTCTCTTTCCAAAGTGGCTCGCGACACGTATGTTGTGCATGGAAATCGACGACTGTTCGGGTTTCAACCATGAATCGGCATGTTTCTGATTATTTTCGGATCCCCTGGTAAAAAGCTTGTTCAGCATGAAAAACTTATGTGACTCAAAGATGTCTACGAAAGGAAATACCGTGGATGTTATTTAATCGGGAATTACTTAGATAAAGAATTCTTTAATTGGGAAAATTTATAAATTATTTTTACGAACATTGGGAATGAAAATTTGTCAATACCTTAGGAAACAGAGATTAAATTTTATTCAAGCATTATTCCGTGGTATTAACAATGTGTGTAATTTCTACGTTACCAAGCATCGGTAAAAAAACATACCGTCAATAGGTAGGGCGGAGATTAAAGAAACTTAGGTGTAGATACGTATGCGATCTGTTTCTTCTGTTATATTACAATATATTTAATTCTCGGTACATGGATAAAGTTCGCGAGCACAGGCTGCTCTGTGTATCTCGTGCTCGCAAACGGACGCGTTGATAAAAACACTCGCGCACAAAAACTGTCCATCGACGATATTTTGTTTCTTCTTTTCTTTTCTTTTTGTTTTTTTTTCTCTTAATACTTGATTCTAAATGACTCTGGCGGTCGACTCGCGGGGAATGACTGACGGAAGGAGAATGGAAATCGCACGAGCGATGACGTACACGTTGCTGCTCGCCTTCCAATCGAAGGGCTAATCTTCCTCGAGGAGGTCGTCGTCGAGACTCACACCCTGCAACAGGGAGGAGAAGTAGAGAACACCTTTATCAATCTGGAACTCGGATGGATATTCAATTAAATGTTACAAAAAAATTCATAGAAAAAATATTCCACTTTTTAGAATTTTTCTACTTTCTATTTTGTTTTATAATTTTGTTTTTCAATGCTGAATCGGTAACAGTGATTACCATAGGATGGTAACTACCGCGAAAAAATATTTGCAGTTCGAAATAAGCGTGATAAAATGCACGCACAACACAAACAGAGTGAAAGGTTACACCAAGGGAGATTTAGTGCTCGATTGTTATGGCAAATAAGGTTGTCAAGAGAACGAGCCATGACTGAGGCAAAGTCAACAAACTTTACGCGGTCCCTTAACCTTTTCCGCGACCATTATGACTCAAGATTCCTGATAATCGATATGTTCGCTTTTTTCAAGTGTAGATTTATTTCCGGAGATGAAGGGCGTGAAAGCAACGTTTCCTTCTTTGTTTTATTTAACGTGCTGCTCGATAGGTGGAACGTGTTCACGCATATTGCTCGAGATCGATATGTCGCTATGAACGCGGTCGCCATGGACGAGCGTGTGTGCGCCATGCTTGATTTCAGAATGTTTTGGTAACACAATACCCGTCTAGAATTACTCGTGCCCCCTTCTGACCACGATATTCACCTATCGACTCAGCCGTCGTACGATTAAATCGTCGTAGAACGGAGAATAAAGAGATTCGATTCAATCGAACACTTACTTTGTGTGTTCAGAACCACTTATTGTATACCGTCAGCATGCACAAGAGAAAAGGGTGGCGTGAAAAAAGCAAAAAGAGGCCCGAGCATAGCGAGAAATATAAAGGACACGTAATAATAGTGACAGGATCGACTTACAGTAGTATCTATGGTTTCATCGATCTCTAGATCGAGATCTAGATCGTCCTCGTCCACCGTCAACGGCCTCGAGCTGCTTGTGGTCTTCGTCACTTTCTCCGGTAAGCTTACTTTCCCCGTAGACGATGGAATTACCTTACTGATATCTAGATCTTGTAGCCTGTTCGTTAGAACCTCAGTCGTTGGCATTTCTGGTTCACTACTAGTACTGACACTGGCTTTATACGTGAATTGATTCGCCTCCTCGGCCGCCAGCATTTCCTCAAATGGTTTTCGTTCGACATTTGACTACAAAATCGATAGAATTGTTGTCAAAAAATATAATACGTAAATAAGAAAAAGTATCGAAAAACTCGAAATTCCATATGCCCAAATGTTCGAGACTTGATAGATGGAACCATCTCACAACCCGAATTTATTAATGATACCTTACCTGTACATTTGGGAACGCAGACGCGGGGATCTTCTTCTTGCTCTCCTCTCTCAGGAACTGTTCGACCTTCAAAGCTTCCCTGTAACCAGGGAACAGATTTTCATACTGTTCAGGATCAGCCAAACTCTGTCCAGCCTTCTTGCTCACGGCTGACAATTTCTCCTTCCACATTTTCATGATCGACGAAATTTTGCTCGGGGCATAAGTTCTTGCAAAGAACGCTGCCTCTGGGATTCTGTCGGTCTTTATTAGGATGTCTAAGCACTTATCGAGATCCCCAAGTATGAAGTACGATAAAAATGAAATGTTGTTTTTGCCAGTGTCGTCCGCGTCTGTGCCCAATTTTTGAATCATGTTCGCATTTCCGGTGCTGGTGGCAAGCAGCAAGAGTCCACCGAAATCTTGAGCTTGATGTAAACATTCCTGTGCCAAGCATAATTTGCCCTTTTGTGTGGCGAGGGACGCCAGTTGCCGCCATTTTTGCTGGCTGTTCGCCTCCTTGGCGAGAGAATGCGCCGTCACGAGATCCCCCAACGCCAGAGCCAATTCGAACCTGTGCTCTGGATCCGTGGACACCGCTAACGCTTGCTCTTTGAAGCCCTGAACGATAATATTTCAACGTCAAGCGTTAATCCCTGTGTACATGAATTTTCGACGATAAATTTGGTGGAACAATACGCACTTGTTTTTCCAAGAAATGCGCCACTCGTGTTCTGTGCTCCTTAGGGACAGTTGGTAGCACTCTGTCCGCTGTTTCGAAGTCTTTTCGCATAACAGCTGTCTGATATTCTAGTACAGACAGCAACAAGGAGTATGAGACGACAGACAATTCCTTGTCGCACAAGTACAATCTGTTGTCTCTAGGAACGTATCCAAGGAGGTACATCGGTCTGTCCAAGTGTGAGACAGTGACAACCTCTCCACCGACGAAATAGTTCACTCGATTTACGCTGTTGGTGTAGATGAAGCAATCGCCCACCCAGAGGCCTGTCTTCACCACTTCGCTCATTTCAGCCACCATCTGCAGAGTATATTAATAGATATTCTAGAATACATATATATATATTTTTATCGTGAATATTAATCAATGGTGCAAAAATGGACCTCGAAAGCGTCCTCGATATCCTCTGAATTTTCTGGCGCGTTCGCGACAGCATCAGAATGATACTTCAGGATGAAGTATTGGTCTGATGTGGCCAGTGCCACCAGAGAGGCGTTCTCGGCCCAGTAGACGTGTGTGGGTTGTATGTCAATACGACGAACTAGCTTCAGCGTGTCCCAGTCGAAGAAGGATAGGCCAGATCCGGATGACACGCCCAATAAAAATCCGCCAAATATACCTGTACAATAATAAAATACAAGTAAATGCAATACATAGAATCTAAAGAAGAATAAAACCATTGTAATTACCATCAGCACCAAAGTCTGGTTTGAAACTCTTCTTTTCCTTGAAGTTCTTGAATACTTTCACTGTAGTGTTGCTTTCTCTGACAGCATACTGGCTGGAATCAGCTGCCCATACGAACTCTGATGCCTGACCAAAGGCTTTGTTTCTCAAAGCCATGGATGTGTAGATGATGTACTCTCCATCTCCACAAACTACTAGAAATCTTCCATTCGGGTTATGTTGGATGGTCTGTGGATAGATCTCACAGGCACCCATGTCTTTCACTGCTAAGGGAAGCCTCTCTCCATCTTGAGCCTCTTCTCCAAGGGCTTTTAAATTTACTTGCTGTATTTCACTGTGCTTTGCCCATACAATCTTGCCTCCCAGCGAATCCATGGAAACTGCTGGCTCCTCTCTGCCTACTTTCACCATAACACTGCCCTCATCATAGCCAATTGCAACATTATTGGAGCCACGCATACAAGCAATTGTCCATACTCTTTCAAAACCAAAGTTGAGGGAAGATTCCAGTCTGTATGTTCCTGCATGCCATATTCTAGCTGTTCCATCTTCTGAACCAGTCAGAATGATAGGTAATTCTGGATGGAAACAGACAGCTGAGATATTCTGAGTATGTCCTTCTAGTGTCTGTACACAAGTCTTGTTTTGATAGTCCCATATTTTCACATATTTATCATCTGCTCCTGATATTAAGTACGGTTTGTCACCACCATGGTAGTAGTCAACGCAATTCACACCCTTTTCATGGCCCTCCAGTGTGAAATTGGCAGTGGAGGATCCCAACTGCCAAACTTTCACTGTTCTATCCAAAGAGGCACTTGCAAATGTATTGTTGTCCTTTGGATTGAAAACAATTTGCATTACATAGTGAGTGTGCCCTTCGAACACTTGCTGTCCTATCCAAGCCTTCTCCCAGTTCCACAGTTTGATTAACATGTCATCTAAATGTAAAGTATAAGGATTAACTAGGGAACAAAAATGTGATTAGTAAGTAATAAAGGAATCAGTACATACCACTACTTGTTAATATAAAAGGTTGAGATGGATGCACTGCAATGCATCTAACATAGTCACTGTGTGCCTCAAAAGAATGCACACGCTCTAAAGTGTTGTAATTGAACACTCTGATCTGCATATCATCTGAACCAGTGACAACCCAGTTCTTCCTTGGCACAAATTTGGCTGTACGAACTGGCAAATCACATACTTCAAATGTCTTAACCAACATTTGATTTTCATGGTTCCAGATATTAACATTCCCCTGGTACAAGGAGCAAAGCATCCACGGTTCAGTGGGGTGAAGATCCACACTCTTCACCCTGTCTGACCGAGCAGTCAGCTTCCTCTTGATATCTAATCTCAGTGGCTGCAATAGACAAAAGTACAAATTGATGGTTATAAAATGAAACACAAGATATTTTGTGACATCAAGCACATGCAAAATCACGTTTATTAATTTTTAGATGTTTTAATATGTACAATTTTATTATCATCGTATAACTTAAACATCACGATACAGTAAAAAGTAAGATAAATTTCGATTTATATTTAGGCGCAGGTGATGTAGAGAAATTTAGTCAGGAATGATGACAGAAGTGAAACGAGAATATTACGAAGAGCATGGTGAGGAAGTGCATATTTTGACGTGTCAACCACAGTAGCAATGTCAATACAAGCAGGTGTCTACAGGTGTTTACCGGTGACATACTAATAAGATCACATTGTCTTCATTCTTGAAATACGTACCATTTTTCACTGTAAAATCTGGGCTAATAATATCGAAAAATTTCGAGTTTAACGATAATATACACCAACCGATCCAACCTCCTGCCATGAAGTTAGGACGTGGCTCTTGTTCACATCGAACATGGCGTCCTTCTCTCATCACACGTTCGCTGTTCAAACACAAATAAACGACACATTTTCCAAATGATTTTTTATTCACATTATTTAAAAGAAGTCTCTTCGAATTATAATCCGCAATGATTTTAACTTAAAAATTTAAATATGTTTGTAAGTGTACAGCAAGTCAATAAAATTACACGGTCGGCAACACTACAACATTCTCGAATGATATTTCAGAAATCGTAATTACCAATTTTTTACTGTTTTTTTTCTAGGTGGCGCCTTTTACATTAAAAATTACCAAAATATATTCTATTGATTTTTCATTGCCAAAACTGCCTCCCTACGATCTTTTCTCATGCACGAATGATTATATTCCATTATATTCGAACGCATGTGGGACATATCTATATGATAAGATAATTAGAATTACGTTCCATCCTGATTAGAGGAAAAGATGTTGACAATAAAAAGCACGTGCTGCAACGAGAAAATAATCTATATTACCGTATACACGTAAATGTGCAGCGATTATGTTCCATATAAAACGCGATACACGGAATAATTTCGAATTGATCATTTCTGTAATTCATCATGAAGCGCACGCTCATCTTTTTTCTGGGTAAAAATTTCTTTTGTCATAGAATTATTGCAAGTCTTTTGAATTTATGGTTCAGGAAGGGGGCATTAACAGAAGTATCGATTTTCAGGGGTGTTGTTGATTTCTAAGAGGGGGCAGGCCTTCTCTTGGGCTGACAAGGCGATTTTTTACCAAGACTGTGAAATTTTCAACCATGTGGAACTTTATAGTGGGCCAATTTGCGGGAGCAATGGCGTTACGTACTCCAATAGCCTGTATTTGGATTGTGTTAATTATCAGTCGATCAAAAACGGTAAGTATACGCCAGTAACAGATATTTTTGAATATCGAAAATTCTTTGATATTTTACTAAAAAAAAAAAAAAAATACTTCTATTTTTAGAAGTTAAAAAATATTCTATTCTTTAAAAGATACTACTATTCTAAAAATACTTCATTCACGAAAATAAATTTTAATCGTTTAAAATCAATTTCTGACGAATCGATCAATCATATCTTAGTGGCCACGGTGCATTCTGGACCCTGTTTATCGATAGACGATTACTGCAAGCCGAATCTGCTTTATCAACCGATCTGTGGATCGGATGGGGAGACATACACGAACGTGGAATCGCTGTTATGCTTTAATTTAAAGCGTTCGCGTAGTAAGTACCCACGAATTCAGCGTACTTATGGCAAACGTGCTCGTTAATACGGATTAAAGTTGGCGAAAGTTCTATGCCATGGAGAATTTCGATTGGCCAGTGAGCCCAAGCATTTTGGAATGGGGAGGGAAGAGGGAGAGGGCTAGCCGAAATTCCAACTTACAAACTCCCTTACCAGAGTCTGGTATTGTTACGTTTCGCCCTGCCTGACCACGACAATGGAAACTAAAAATCCCTTATCCTCGAGTTTGGGGAATTTCATACATGTTACTGGCGGTCCAGGGACTTTGCTGTCTCTGTGAATTTCCTGGGGCTGGGTTAAGCTCAAATTTGACCCAATTTGAATTAGGTTAGGCCAGTTAAATTGTTTTAACTCTAATCAGGTTAAGTTCGGTCAAGTTAAGTTCGATCAGGTTAAGTTTCAATTTAGATTGGATCAGGACTAAGTTAGATTAGATTAGTTAGGGTTGCATTGAATTAAAACTAAGTTTGACCAATTGGTAAAAGATTAAGTTGGTCTAAGTGGGGTTTATATGAAAAGGGCGATGAATAAAAAATTCAAAGATTATGGTGACCCATATGCGTCCAAATTAGGGTCTTAGTTAGTTACCATCACTCCTGACCGATTAATAAAAGAAACAATTCTAAGAAATAGTATCACTTGAATAGGTTGAGTCTCATTTATGGACTGTAAAAATTCTAAAAAATTTCAAATCCTTTTTTCAGATGTGACAGTGGTGTCACAGGGTACATGTGACAATTTCGACTATTGTTATCGTGACGGGACCACTCACTATGGCACCAATCCTGTCTGCGCCAATAATGGCTTCACCTACCAGAACGCAGCTCAGGTGAAGTGTCTGCAGCGACGCAATCACGGTAAGCGGTTGCAGGGAAAATTATGTAAAGCCTAATTGCACTCTTACCGAACACGAACCTAGCCTAATCTAACCTGTTGCATAACCTGTACACAACAACAGCTTTCGAGGAAAGGAAGAAAGGACGAAAGTTTTTTAACTGGAATTTTATTTCTTCTATACTAGACCTGAGGATTGTTCACGATGGCGGCTGCACAGTCAGGGATGTACACGCCATTTATGGCACCACGGAGATAGTCTGCAAGATTGCCAAAGAGAGGTACGAGTGGAACCCTGTCTGTGCTTCAGATGGCGTTACTTACTCCAACCCTTTTGAATTTTTGTGCTACGAGGCTGGTGGGTATTTTTTTAATTAACATAGGAATTAAGTTAGGAAATTTTTTTTCATTAAGATTTATTTTTTTTTTTTTTTTTAATCAGATTTGAAGCAGTTGGTGTCCGATGACGAGTGTGGGACAAGCACACATAACTCATGTGCTTTGCTGACGACCTCAGGCACCGCCAATACGACCTTCACCTTGAAGGACGAAGTTTGCGGAAGCGATGGCGTCACCTATCAAAGTATTCATCACTTGCAATGTTACAGCAGTCAAAATAAATGTCAGTGTATTTTGGCAGAGGCCTTATCAAGATATTATAGATTGGGCTCCTTGAAACCCACACTTTAAATGTTTTCATTATTCTTAGATCAAGTCTGTTCCTAACCTCAATTATTTACATTGTTGTAGAAATTCTTGTTCTAATTATTTGAAAGAAATATTCTAAGGTTAAACTTGACCCTAACTTGAATCACATTGCATTTCTCCACAAAATTCCTGTTTCAATTGTCTGAAAAAAAAATTCCACAGAGGTGCATAATCTGAAAAATCATCTCCATTAAATTTTCCTTCTCCAGATCTGTTTCAGAGGCATTCTGGGCCGTGTTCAGGGCCGGACGATAGTCCCTGTGGGTCCATCCCCGAGGAGGACCTTCGACTTCCGGTGTGTGGCAGCGACAACACGTCGTACGTGAGCCCGGAAGCCCTCTGGTGTGCGAAGTTATGGTTCCCTCAGAAAGGTCAGTGGCTAGTCTAACCTAACCTCACTTCGAAACGTGAATCTTCGCTTCTTCGTATTTCAAATCAAAATTAGACGTTGACCTAACCTCATAATTATTCATCAAGACGAATATCCGGGTTTTTCACAGCGCTGACGTTCGTCCATGATGGGCCCTGCTAGTTCTCATGCCATTAATCTGTGTTTCTGATCGGCTGCTTGCGTCATCGTGGATCTTCCTTGAGAAAATCACGCCTGAAACCTCTCATGGACTCGTCCATCGAATATTCTCCTGTCTTCTCGGTCATCTGAATCATCTGCACAGAAGAAACATTGAATTCAAATATTTATAACGTGTCAAAATGGCGGTGGTTACTAAAATGGCACCCCTAGGGACAAAATGGCCGCCCATGTCGCCCACATATGGTGTATAAAAGATTCTTTTTAGGGTTTGATAGACAGTCAGAGAGATGTAGAAGGAGAATACATCTAATATTTTATTCCTCAATGATGTCATTCAAGTATATCGCCATTTTTATTTGTCTTTTCCCGTGCCTTTTACGACGAACTCGCTTCTAGAGGCCTTAAATGCGTCTCTTTTTTTTTTTTCGTTTTCGTTGCTTGTGAGTGTGACCGTGAGGACTTCACTGGAAGGATTCTCCTGATGTAATCTTCAGGTTTTTCAAATATTCTCGTTGTTTGCGTGACACGTGGCCACACGGTCCTTCTGGGAATTCTTATTACGCAACCGTATCTTTTGAATGTCGTATTTTTTTGCAATTTAAATGCGAAGGAACGTTTGTAAGATGGACATTTGTATTATTGCCGAAACTTTGAATAAAATTGAAATAGAAACATGATCGAATTTTTCATTCACATAACAATCATTTATTACCAAAATATAATTAACAAAATAACGAAAAATTCTTTAAAAAAAGCAATAAATACATAAAATCTTTATGAAGATAAATATGCATCAAGAATTACACTTTTGTTCTGTATCTCTATGGGGAATTTCCCTCTTCAGTATTTTATGCTCCACCAGTGTTAAAACAATTAACATGCCAGGCAATTAGCGTGATCATCGTGCTTTATCAGGCTATTCGAACGCTGTTTTTCGTTTTTTCGTTCTTGACCCGTATTTCCATGAAATATTTCCCACTCAAGAATCTTCTGTTTCTTCAATATGGCGGCTGCTATCGCCGTTCCAGCTTCTTGGTCTCCAATCGTTGATCGTTTCAGAACGAACGCTGGATCAAATTTTTTTTCAGCGTTAAATCATGGTTCTAGTAAGTGTAATTATATACTCTATCAGGCTGTAATTATTGTTATTGTAGTTTCTTCTTTTGTTTTTTATAAGGAAAGTGAGGCTAGGATTATTTTCTCGCGATTGGAAGAAAAGGTGACCCGCTTTTTGAACTTCTGGGACGCTGGTATTGCTTTTTCTGCGGTCGAATTATTATTTTTCCATTCGTGGAATAAGCATTTTCTCTTCTTCGTTGTTAAATCAACTTTTTTTTTGCTCGTCATTTTGCGTCGATGTTCCCCGACGAAGAAGCGTTGGTACTTCGTATCGAGTGTGAACATCAAGAGTAATTAATTTTACGAGCGAGTGGATTGAATTGTTCAGACGATTAAGTTGGCAAGAATGTTTCTTTGTCGGCGTGTGGTGATTCATTAGCTGCGTAATTTATAATTACACACAGCGATCGACTTCGAGAGTCGTTACATGAACTATGCATACATCGTTTAGTGGCTCATCGATTAAAACAGTTCCGGCATATTTGAACAAATTTAAACGTATCCTGACACGTGCCAAAAGTGTTTAATTTTTTACTCGAGGAGAAATATAGGTTAGGTTAAGTTAATATCGCGCTAAAATTTCTCAATTGTTTTATCTAAACGCACGAAAATTTCCTAATTTCTCTGTTCCAAAAGGAAAAAAGAAAAAACTATAGGTCGGATTATCTCAACGCACACAAATTTTCCAATGTCTCAAATCCAAAAGAAAAATATAGGTTAGGTTATCTCAACGCACATAAATTTCCCAATTTCTCTGCTCGAAAAGAGAAAAAGAAAGGAATTCTGGTATAATATTCGAAGCTTCCGAAATCCTGTTCGGGAAAACATCCTTTCACCAAGCACAGAGTCGGACGACAGAAAGATCGAAGAAAGAGACGAACGCGTTTGTCACAGAATCGGAGGAGGTCAGGGCGACTATTTGTCCTGGCAGGGAAACATCTGGGCTAGGCTGACCTACTGCTCCTTTCCCGGAACGAGAGCTCCGCGATTACGCCGCGGATACATTATTTATCCGGCTCTCCTTTTATTCTCCTTTTAGTCGCCGCTCTTTTTCACCCGTTATCCTTCCCTCGGCTATCACTGCACTTTTATTTCACCGTATTCATCGATCACGCTGATTTTTTTCCTCTCCGCTGGAAAATCGACGATCACCTGATCCAAGAGTGTCACGTGCCAATACGGTGATTCGTGAAACACGGCGAAACAATTGTTTCCGCAAAATGTGAAAAATATGGGAAATTTTTCTTTATCTAATCACAAAGTTACGAAATCTAACCTGAGAAACGTGAAAATGAAAAATTAACATCTCCAACACCTAACCTAATTTATACACAGCATTGAGAATTTTCAAATGTTCCGCGAACTCAGATTTTAGATTAGCTTTCTAATCTCTCCACAACTCTCGATTATTAATTTGGAACGAAGTGTAAATTAATTATCGCGAAAATCGAAATCTGCTACATGCAGTATCTGATTTAATCCGCGGCTGCGAATAATTGTAAATTTCCAATATCTAATTATCATCGATCGAATTGTACGTTATCGAGTGAAGATCGCGATGAGTGAAATCGAATCTGCTCGAATTGACGAGTAGACAAGTGTGCCGTACAACAGTAATTATCGGTATCGAAGACAAGAAGATGGCCGCGTCATCCATTGGACAAATAAAGTAAGGAAGATGGGAGACTCGATTAGGAGGAATCACGCGAGAACGATATTGAACGGAATTTCTGGTTATAAGTGTGCCATACAACAGTAATTATCGGTATCGAAGACAAGAAGATGGCCGCGTCATCCATTGGACAAATAAAGTATGGAAGATGGGAGACTCGATTAGGAGGAATCACGCGAGAACGATATTGAACGGAATTTCTGGTTAATTCCCAGGTTGGATGAGGCAATTGGGAGGTGAGTCGTTAACCAACCGCATTTTGCATAACGCTGGTCGAGCCGGGTCGACGACTCGAAGAAGGAAGAGACTCGAAACCCTTCCCTTCCGTTCCCGCGGAATTTCAACGGCGAATAGCTCGGTGGAAACGACGCGTGAAACCGGTACCCTCTTACCTGCACCTCAATGGAGTCTTATTGGTACCCGTTCATGATAATTCGTGTCTTTTCTTCTTGTGGATATTGAAATACTCGACAAATTGGAGAAATTGATCTGGTGTATCGGAAAAACAGGAAAGATATGACAAATTATCTCGAGGCTTCTTAACAATTAATTTCGATGTTTGGAAAAATTGGAAATAATTATTTTCATTGTTTCTTAAAAATTCATTTCGAATGTTAGAGAATTGGAAGAAATACATCTGGAATATGGAAAAACAGGAAAAATGGGAGAAATTACTTCGAGGCTTCTTAACAATTGATTTCGATGTTTGGAAAAATTGGAAATAATTATTTTCATTGTTTCTTAGAAATTCATTTCGAATGTTAGAGAATTGGAAGAAATACATCTGGAATATGGAAAAACAGGAAAAATGGGAGAAATTATCTCGAGGCTTCTTAACAATTGATTTCGATGTTTGGAAAAATTGGAAATAATTATTTTCATTGTTTCTTAAAAATTCATTTCGAATGTTAGAGAATTGGAGAAATAAATTAATTAGGTGATCCTATAAGTAACGTCGTTTTGATAGCTCACTTTCGTTACAAAAATAAGAGTATAATAATTAGCGATGGGTGTTTGAATTTCAATTTGGAATACGATTCGAAGTGTTTCAGTGTCCATCACTAGTTGTGATGTAAAGGGTTTAGGTTCGAGCGTACAATTGGCTTCCTGGATCGAGAAAACTGTACCTAGCACGGGAACGGATACTAGAAATCTCTGGTAGCCGGAAGTGGAGCACCGATACCAGTGAAAAGGGAAAGGAACTTGAACGATAAAACTTCATTCTCACAGAACAGTGGGCAATCTTTTTTTCTCCTGTATCCAATGAAATTTCCTATGTCATACATAATACATTCGTTATTTAGCGAGTAAATCATGTAAGAATTTCAAAGGGTGAACAAGATGGAAGAAAAATTCCTTTACAAAACCCATTTTTTTTCTCTTTCTCTCAAGATCACCTATATTTTTTTTTTTTTTACCTGAATGTATATACCTTTTTCTACTGTACGTTGTAGCAGACATTGATGTGCATTTAAACGTGCATCGTAATACGACCTTAAAATGACTTTAGACTTCAAAATTTTAACGTGGAACTTTCTACCATTTTTTGCCATTTCTTCCATAAAAAAAAAAAGATTTTCCTCCCACTTGTTCGCCCTTTGAAACCATTTAAATTACGCATAAAATTTGTCTCGTATCGCAAGAGCTGCAGAAGTTAATTAGGTGGCCTGTTTCACGCGATCCAGCCTGTATTCTAATTTTTCAAAAATTCGAAATTAATCCCTTCGAAAGTAGCTCCTTCGATTCTTATAAAATTCTATTAGGTAATCTCACGAGAAATATGTCGCTTTTTATCTTGGACCGATGAAGTGGTGTATTAAGCTTATAAAATGTGTACAAAGAGCAAGGTTCCTTCTGTCAGAATCAACACGATATTCGTGACATGGAACGGTAACAGTTCGAACAATCGAACGACAACCTCGATCAGATTAGATTCGTCTGGGGACAACAACAATAAGAATCAACGATGGAAATGGAAGAAAAACAGAATACTTGGAAACTGTATATAAATTACACCGTTGTACAGGTTATCTGACACGTTGTAGAGCACCGTGGGCGAATACAGTCGGTGAAAAAAGTCTCGGTACACCTCGTTAGAATTGTGATTTTGTAACAGATACTTTTTGACTAAGATTGTCAACTACTGCGTACGTTGTTTTATTTGCAAACGTATCGTTTACTATTAGCACAAAAAAAAAAAAAGATTTACATTCGTTTGTTAATAATTGCACTAAGGAAAGAGAGTAATGCAACCAGAAATCAGGTGAAAAAAGTTTGCCCAAAGAGAAACGCAAGTAGAGAGAAACGTTAAATAAAAAAATATTTATTTGCTGAATTTTTAACAAATGAGTGTAAATTATTTTTCTTTGTGCTTAATATTGCAGTACAACGTAATGTTTGTAAATAAAAAATAACGTATATATTAGTAAAAAGAATAACGTAAATATACAATTCTTCATGCGCGATAAATTCTAATGAGGTGTACGGCGACTTTTTCGACTGACTGTCGAACCGTTTGCAAACAACGATACGACACGAGGTTGACAGGTTCTCTTTGTGTTTGACGATGATTAAACTAATCATCGGGGCAAATACACGATAATGGAATTAATGAAAAAGGTGAAAGCGTAGTTAGAGCTGGTTGCACGCGATCAATTCGAGCAATTTGCGAGGATTCCCCGAGATCATTTTCCATCTGTCCGTCGATATCCCGACACGTATGTCGATATTTCGTGTAACTCCACGGCTGTTTGGCAATCGAAATATGGAAATGCTTGACGGTATGCTGAAAATTGGCAAATTTGCAATTTCTCGACGTTACGCGATATTCTCGGCATCTGCGAGCTAATTGTCGGGGAACTGGATTTTCTGAGGAATTTTCGATTCTCTTTGGCGGTGTTTTGAAACCGAACGTGTATACAGTTACTTTCAATTGTCCAAACTGGTCCATTTCCCGCAGCTCGCGGAAGCCAAAATTTCGTTAAACACCTCTCGCGGGTTATCGAAGTTGGATTTTCGGAGAAATTTTTCACCTTTCGAAGATCCAGTGTAGACTTCTTGGGTTGAAAATAATAAAGAAATATACCGAACTAGCTTTTCTTATTTTCAATTCCCCAAAATTGGAATTCTCGGTTTAGCCCTTGTGGCTTATAGAAGCAAGAATTTCGCGGAGTATCCGTTTAATTGTGCAATTGGTAAAAATTCGAATGACGTTTAATTATCGAAAAATTGGTTACATCTACGTTGAATTTTTCACACGACTCGATGTAATATTATAGTTCGCGCTGACAGAGGATATCGAAAGTAAGCATAACGTGTTCCTACAATTCCAATACACCGCAGTTAAGATCTTTGAACCGGTGCCACGTTTTTACCTCGTAAAAGTCCCAACTCGTGCACGTACCACTACGTGACATAACATTCCATCCTCTTTGAAAGTGTTCCGCAACGAAGCCCGAGCTTTTACCCAACTCTGAACTCTGTCACTGTACATTTCCGAATTCTGACTCTGCCCAACTGAGATTTATATCTCGCTCTCGAATTCGTGAGGGCAATATCGATGCAACTTCCGAAAATTTCTCTCTCTCTCTCGAAAAAAAGAAGAAATTCTTAATCTTGTCTTTTAGAACAAATTTTTGGGCACGTTGCAGTGGCTATTGTAATTTTCTACCGAGAACATATTGGAAAATTTTAGAAAAGAGGCGTTTAATACGAAACACTGAAATTCATAAGACCGATGAAAAATAAAAAACAAAAGGTTACATTTTCTTAAGAAAAAGGAGTTTTATTCAAACAAAAAAAAAAAACAA